CCCAAGATCAGAAACATAGTGATACATACCACCAGTCATTGGTGCTCTCTGTCTTTTTGAGCACTGTAATGACCTCGCCCTTCTTGAATCCGAGATCCCCAGGCTGATCCGCCTCGAATGTGAACAGGGCCACGGCTTCGTTCGCCTTGAGCTGCGACGGCTTGGGCGAGAAGTTCGGTTTGGGAGCCGTCGGCCTGCCGGGTGCGGTCTTCCCACCAAACCCGCCGTTCGTCCTGTTGAAGAAGTCGTCGTCGTCGTCGTTGCGTGGAGAGGCATAAGTGTTCGACCTGGTCGGGCCTCCAAACGGTCGATCGTAGTCGTCGCCCCGATATGTGCTGGACCGCTGAGGCCCACCAAAGCTGTCGCCGTAGGAGCTCTGCCGCCGCGACTGTCCCTCCCCCATGGCGTTTCCCTGCCGGCCGTTCCATGCGACGTCGTCTTGCGAATTGTTATAGACTGGCACATCATTGTACATGGAGTCACCGGCCATGCTCCCCGCACGACCCATGCCGGAAAAGGCCCGGGAATTAAGCACGCTCATCAGCGCCTGAGCTTGCGGGGGCGGCCGGACACTGCCCGTTAGGATCTGCTGCGCCGTGTATCGTGTGCCATAGAGCTTTTCGTTGGCATCACGGCGTTCGATGATACCGGAGCCCTCGAGAGAGACACCGGCAAAGAGACCTTTTGTCTTGGAGTATGAGAAAACGGCAGCCACGCTCCTGAGGGAAGCGGCGCCGGCGGCCTCGGCATTGCGACCCACGGGGCCGGCGGCGATAGAAACGTTACCACCCAGCGTGAGCGAACCGGCCTGAGCGAACGTCTTGACGGCGTTCGTGTCGTTGAGGATGAAGACGAAATCGGTCAGCTCGAAGCCAATCTGTCCACCCACGCCACCGCCGACCGTAGCGATGGCGCTGGGCGCGCTCCAAGATCCGTCGGGGAGCCGAGCAACGACGAGGCCGCTACCGAATCGCCCTGAGCCGAGAAAGCCCGCTTTGAGGACCGTGAGGATGGCAAGACCCTACAGAAGAAAACAGGAAGTTGTCAGCGCAAACGGGGCGCATTGAACGGGGCGCAATGAACCGGTGGTGGCCCGCAGATCCAAAGGAACTGATAGGCTGTGCGGTTGTGCATGTGTTGACGATGGGAAGTCGGGACTTACTTTGGCATTGGCAAGGACTGAGGGGGGGATGATCTTCTCGGGGCCAAAGGCTTGTCTCGGGTCGATGAATGAGGTCAAAATCTTGCCGCACTTCTTGCATTCCGCTACAATGGGGACAGAGACACCGCGGTCAGTCAAGAGAGCAGCTCACAGGTGAGGTAGAATAGGGGGGAGGGGGGCAGCTCACACGCCATAGAAGACGGAAGAGGGTTATGGAGACCCATGGTGACTATCGGCGACGAGGACGTCGATCACAACGATTCAGATCCGTGGAAACCGTGGGGAATGGCGAGAAAGAGATATACTAGAAGGGATAGAATGTTGTGAGATCGAGAAAGGCCAAAGCCCAACAGTTGGTCGGTAGGCTTGATGGGCTTGTG